GCTATGGTCTTGAATTTTTGGTGACAGATAGCTTTTCCTGTCAGGAATAAGTGGTGTGGGTTTGGTCCCCCTAGCAGCTTGTTCAGGAACTGCAGGGAACTTTCGGGCGAAATCTTTGAAAGCCAATAAGTCCAGATAGGAACAGCGTATTTTCATCATTTTTGGTGTGTAGGTATCTGACAGAGAGATGTACATAATTAACTGCAAATTATGCAAATGAGGACTTTATTTGCATAATTAATGAGGAAATTCTATAATTACAGTGTTTTACATTATAGAACCTTCATACATGTAATGTATGTAATCTATGGCAGATGAAACATCAACAGATACTAATTATGCAAATGATGACCTAATTTGCATAATTAATGCAAAAAATCTATGATTTCTCAATGGTGAATGATGGGAATGTCATACTTGGGACATCTTTAAGTTAATCAAAAGTTAACATCACGACGCATATATTATGTTAATGCAGAGGTCATTTGCGTAATTAAACAAGAAATTTACATTTACATATCAAGCTCATATTTCATGGAGGTATGAGATCTCGGAACTCTTGTTGTACGTTTTAATGGGAGGCCACGTAGCTACATTTTTCTAAAAACGTAGGGTGACCGCGGCCGAGGTAGTACGTCACTCGCACGGTTGCGCAAGGTGTAAGTACGTGGTTTGCACGCCACGCCTGGCCGTGAGCGGTTGCGTGCATCGTTCGTTGCGCAAGTGGTAAGTGAGTTGTACGTGCTTACAACGTACGATCTCTGTAGGATTGCTACGTCACCGTGTGCAGGCCGTATGTAGGTCAACGACCATATGGCCAGTGATCAGGCTGGGACAGCTGTTTTCACCATAAACAGCTGGGCTGGTGGCATGTATTACTATTAAAGATGTATCCCAGCTTTGATAGGGAAATTGGTTTTGAGATTGAACCAGTTTCTCTTGAATCATGAGCTAATATTACGCAAACAAAGACATCTGACGAAGACATAGGACCTCCGAACTCTGGTTTACTGATATTTCATCAGCCAGCATTAATGTCGTATCGTTTGCGACTTGTGTTATCTTTATTTTCTCAGTACCCTCTTGCTACCCTATGTTGCACTTCAATACCACGTAGCCAGAATTTCTGTCAGCAGTATGAAAATCAAGCATGACAAGGGGCACCCCTGTCTTATTCCTCTTTTCAAAGAAAAGGGTTCAGAAGTCCAACCATTATTCAAAATGCTGCTATGTGTGTCATTGTAAAGAATATGTATCCATTAAGTGAATTTGGACCCAAATTAATTCATAATTAATTAATAAAAGCATTTTGTACCTATATATAAGTCCCTATTTATTGTATCATATGCCTTTTCGAAATCAAGGAATAACAGTAAGCAAACAAAGCAAACGAAAATGCCAGTGCAAGTACGTCATTTATCTATCTTATGTTTTCACATTATATACGCTGTACGCTGTTTGATTCTGATGTACTAGTTCTGCGATAACTCTCTCTACCCTGTTAGCCAGGGTTACGCAGTTATCTTGTAGTCACAGTCAAGCAAAGAGATTGGTCTCCAGTTCCTTAACAAATGAAATTATTTCTTTTTATGTAACAGTTTTATCAGTGCATTTCCTTGTGAATATAATAGAGCTTTGTTTTCAGAGCTTTCC